GGCGTAGCATTGGTGACTTGTGCATGAACTTGCTCATAATGAAGCAGACTTGCGCTGAATCGACCTCACCCCCTCCTTACACCTTCGCCTTTTTGGATGGCAGGACGAAGCCAAAAAGATCGAGGATGGGCTCGGACGTAGAATTGTAACAAATCATTAAAAATATTCAAAGTCCCAGTAAGTCGCGTCATCAAAATAGAGGACATTAGACGCCTGTATTCAAATTAGTATCTTCAAAAATTAAAACTAACAAAAAGAGACCCTCATCCCAAAGTAACGCAACTGGTCGATTTTGAAACGATTCTACAAAAGCAGGTGCACAATTATTCTAGCGATGTCGGACTTGAAAACTTGGGTTTAACCAAGTGCACATCAGAATCCGGCTATGCATGCACTTTTCTAGGGTGGGCAGTAAACTCGACTTCATATAAGTGCATGAGACGTCATTGCATCCTTTTCTTTGAACCGTGTTTTCTGAAACGATAGATTGTAGGTCCCACAAATAACTTGAGCTAGCCTGTAAACCGTGTCATACGTTGAATGGTGGTAGAGGGGGTGTTTAAGGGTGGGACAACACATGGGACGGAGAGCATGGAGACACGAAGAATAAATACATTTCCGCCGAAAGTCTTGTCTTACCCTACCATTTGGCAGAAAAAGTGAACGCGATAATAAAAACAGCAAAGAAAAAGTAATTTTCAAAAAATAACGGATTTTCGATAGGGCGCCGCCGGTATGGTTACACTTAGGAAGGAAAGAAAATTTCAGGCAATGTGATGATTACAGTCATACTAAATTTTGCGGTATATTTTCGCAGTTGCTAACTACTTGTGGGTCCTACACACTATCACAACCGTGTTTTCGTTCAGATGTGCTGCATTACAGCAAGAAGGAACGGTAAGATTCTCGACATTTCTCTTTTTTGCCTTTAGGTATGTCTGAAGAGGCAATATGCCTAAGTAAGTCAGGGTTTGTTCCCCCGAAAAAACGTTACTTATGCTGCCAGTCCTAAAATTCCCTCTCTGTGAGCCGCACTAACAGAAGCAGTCTCGCGCAAAATTTCCGAAAGCGTGCATAGTCACCTGAACTCCTTGGAATTTGGCCCAAGCTCTTATCTCTTGTTCTACTATCTAACCCTTGTACAGAATTCACAGCGCCTTGTTCGCGTTTTATCCTATCACTAGCCACTCACAAGACCGCTGGATCTGTATTCACTCAAATATTTGGCGGACCTAGACGTTGACTCGTCTGTCGTCTACACCCCAGAGGCCCGTCCTATAGCATAGCAAATTCGACGAGATCGACGTGTCGAGCAGTGAAGTAGACATCCTAGCCCTACAGAAGACCAACCACGGACACCCATCCGCCCCCTGGTGTGATATACACTGCTCTACCCAGACAGAAAACTCGGCAGAATGTCTATTGTTTTAGCCGACCGTGTGTTTTTTTTTCTTGAATGAAGATCCCTCGATCAAATATTGCTAATCAACAGCTCCGTTGAACAAGATCACACATGCAAGTTACTGCGTGGTCCTACGACCGGACGAGTGAATGAACTTCAGTTAAGTACATACTAGCTGTAGTCTAGCGAAAATGTTCGTCGTAGAATTTGTGTGAAATCTTGATTTAAAAAAGTTTACTTTTTCCATAGATTTTTCTTAGACATTTCATCCAATCATTTGCAAGTTTGCTGGAATAACGAAATGTTTTCGAGAAAAAAATGCGATTTAGGCCACACTCCGCTGGACGATAATGAAAAATACGATTGCCTCATTTGAGAAATACACTGTGCTATTTCTCGTCAAGAGTAGGCTGATTAATTCCTACTTTTTACTTGGTAAAACTGAAATCAAAATATCCCCCCCTGCAATCCATACCTACGCGGTTATTACTTGCCTTCGTTAGGTTGATCTCCGCATTTTGTCACTGATCTCAATAATGGTATTTTCGACAGTACGACCGCCATAAGCATTTTTTGAATTACACTGATTTCGCCGAAGTTTTGCTACCTACCCTGCAAAGTAATACATTTGAGAGTATGCTTACCTTAATAATTTGCCTGGTGGCAGCGTACGGCATAAAGCCACAGAAATAGAAAACGTAGTACCTTTATGAGACAGCACAATGAGGACTAACTTCTATTCGCATGGAAAATATGTACTCATAATGATAGAAAGTGATGTGGATGAAATTCAATGTCCAAACATTTCAGGATTTAGTAGAAATATACAATTTAGAAACACGCACTTAAATATGGATTGACATTATTGGGGGTTGGTTCTGCTGATACCGTTCTGGAAGGTATTGAAACCACCATCAAGACTACAGTTCGGTTTCGAGGATAATTCGAGGGTGGACGAAGCTTTTATTATTTTTATTCGAAAGGGCCTGAAAGGTGAACTCAGTGGTTACTGATGATGACCATTGCGGAAGTGAAGAAATTTTTCTTTAACTGGGCTACTTGAAAGACGTTCCTCTGCTGTTTGATACGCAGGCCTCGCACTTACGCGTTTCAACAACCTGCTGCCCAAGGCGCGGGTGGGTTCCAAGTTGCATAAAATTCTCTTTCGCTCACAGAAACGTATTCTATCACATTTTCTTCATATTTTATGCTCAAAGAAAATGTATATTTTGATTTTAAAAAGTTTCTAATTATGAGATTTTTAAAACCGCGCATGTCCGTTTACTAATGCGCCTCTTGAAATGTACAACGCAATCCGGATCCATAGCAAAACTTTATGAACTCTGTGTGGTATCTTCTTAAAGGCATATGGGAATATATGATTTTCCTTACGTGGAGAGCATGCTTCTTGTAGACTTAAACTACTCAACGCTGATGCAATGGCAGATCAGGCTGAAAATTATTCGGTAATTGAGAAGCCTTTTAAAAACCTAAATACATACTTTCTTCAGGCATACAACGTGAAGACAATGTGATTTCCTACCAAATGGGCAAAAGAAAGCATAATGTTGTGCATGTTCTCTATAAAATATATTTGAATTTATAAGACCACCGAAAATCAATAGGAAAAATACATGCTACTTAATTAGTCATTTTTTACCGAGTAAGGTTTCTGTAGGAGATCAGAAGGAAGTGCAGTCGGAAGCCGACATCCTGGCAAGTCCGAAATGTTATAAGGTTATGCTGTTTGATAATAAGTATAACAACCCCACTTAAGTAATCCTTCCTTATCGGAAAGGCATTCCAGAATTTTGGCCAATATTTCATGAGATCGATCGCGCACTGTAGCACATTGGGAAATCAACGGGGTATGCACTTGAGCGCGGTTTAATAGACGTCGTTGAGGGAGGGAGGAGAGAAATGAGTGGTGTAGGGGTCTCGATCGCCCCGTCGATAGGCCCTGGCCAGCACATATGCGGAAGACAAAGCCAGACACAGATTTTCCTGCCATTGATACTACTTCCGTCAGATAACGCATTGCCTCGGATTGACAACGTGCATTACCCTTAAGACCAACTTGACTGCCCAAATTACCTGCTTGTTAGGCCGGCCGGCTGGCTGGCGCCTTTGCCTACCGTGGCAAAAGTGTGATCCGAAAATAGCCGTCTGCGAGGACAAGAAGCAGCCAAAACATTCGAAGCGATCAAGCCCCAAAGGCAAGATCCTGCCGCAGCGTGGGCGACAGCCAAAAATGTGTTTAATGCTCTGCTGCAGTCGGGGTAATGAAAATGGTAGCCAGAGGTGCGTCTGCACGTTTGGGCTAAACACACGTGCCGGAAAAAGCACGGTACAGACGCCGTTTGCAGCTTTGAAGCCCATGTGCAAAAAAGCAAACAGTTCTTTCTCAGCTTTCTGTTAGCAAAAGTCATGACGCTTCATCGTCCTCTTTGCGTTTCCCATTTTGCGTAAAAGTGAAAAGCGACCGCGAAAGCAAACCAGTCCTTTCTGTTTCGCCTTTAGTAAAGACAAAACATCAGTGCCGCCGACGTGTACTTAGGGTAAGACTGAGCCGTTTGAGTTTGGTAATAGTTTAAAATGTTACGCATTAATGCCAACATTAGATTGCTTTACAGAAGTGCCTAATAAATTACCGAATTAACCCTTGTCGGGCAACGGAACGGGGTTTTATTTCGGAAGTAATGACGTTAGAGGTGTAGGCAGGCTTTGTTGAATATTTTAAAAGTTTGCAGGCTGTTAAAGTGAAGAGTAAAATTACAAACAGCTCTGCGTTAACCAGCAGCATTTTTGTAGCCGAAAATACTCTGCCTTAGCTCAAATTACAGAGCACTTGGTTTCAGTGCTCGATTACCAAATGAGCTGAGTTTAAATCTCATGTCTTTCCGGTAGAGGGTTTCGTAATGGACACTCTATGAGAAAAAAATGACGGTGACACTGCTGGTACTGGTGGTGATAGTGGTGGTGGTGGTGTTAGTAGTAGTAGTGGTGGTGTTAGTAGTAGTAGTGGTGGTGGTGGTGGTGGTGGTGTTGGCGGTGGTGGTGGTGCTGTTGGTGCTGGTGGTGCTAGTGCTGGTGGTGGTGGTGGTGCTAGTGCTG